TGAGCCCGGAACGACCATCAGTGTTTGGCTATGTATGGTCACAATATAAACCGTTGCAATGGCGATTGAAACGCCAACCTGGGATGCTGGCGTTCGCGCTCCCAACGCCGCCGTGCCAGGTTGGCGTTTTTAGGGTTTAGCCCTACCAACGCCGACGGGGGAGGTTGGCGTTTCCATCGCAGCCCCAAACGAAGGAAAATCCTGGAGCTGTATATGTTATAAGCTTGGAACGACTATCAGTGTTTGGTTGTGTATGGTCACAATATAAACCGTTGCTATGGAGATTGAAACGCCAATCTGGGATGCTGGCGTTCGCGCTCCCAACGCCACCGTGCCAGGTTGGCGTTTTTAGGGTTTAGCAGCTACCAACGCCGACGGGGGAGGTTGGCGTTTCCATCGCAGCCCCAAACGAAGGAAAATCTTGGAGCTATTATAATATGTGATAAGCCCGGAACGACCATCAGTGTTTGGTTATGTATGGTCACATATCAATCGAGATTTAAACGCCAACCTGGGATGCTGGCGTTCGCGCTCCCAACGCCACCGTTCCAGGTTGGCGTTTTTAGGGTTTAGCAGCTACCAACGCCGACGGGGGAGGTTGGCGTTTCCATCGCAAAACACGAGCATATCAATCCAGACTTTGCGCACTCGCTTGAGCACAGGCTACACAAGTCTTGAGCCCAAAACAACACAAGTGATAAACCTGTACAGTGGGATCAATGTCATTTAAAGCAGTCGTTTGGATCACTCAGATCTATGATCCGCGTGCATGAGTCGCAAATCAACACAACAGTCTTCTCTTGAGCCGTGCTCTTGAGCCATACTTGAGCAAAAAAATCCTGTATTACAAAAAAAACTGAGGAGAAAAAATTAGGGCCAGTTAGGGTTCGAGGGGGGTAGGGTCATCCTAGGGTTTCAAGGGTTTAAGGCTTTTTGGGCTCACGGTGCGACGTTCGTTCAATTTAGGATTCGGAGTCTGCGGTTGAAATTACCGGGCAGTGTGAGTTCTTCACGGCTAAGGAAAATATGCTAACGAGATATTGGGCTTTCGATTGGAGTATAGATTAATTGAGATTGTCGGACTGGACAAAGCTCTGTAGAAAGCCGTTGCGGAATCACCAACACCGAAACTCTAACTTCAAGCCCCGAATCACCCGAGAAAGCTTTCTTCCCCTTCACACAGCGGTCTCGCGATCAGAGAGCTCTTCGCTCGTGGCTTCTGTGCAGAAGGACTGCCCACGGGATTCACGGGATCAGGGGTCAAGCCTTAATCCCTGGCACTGGAGTCTTTGAACCGGATCGCCAAGTAAATCAAGTATCTTTGCATACAGCGGTTCATGGTCTGAGCACCATGGCAATGGACTGCAATCTGCTTCAGTTGGCCCAAGTAGCTTTCATCCTGAAAACAGGACATCAAGCGTCTCGGGTTTAATCGATGTCGTCGGACATCTCGCGCCATATGACCCACAGTATGGTGTTTAGGCCTAATCTTCCACCTGCAAATGTTCTCTTGTACGCAGCGTGTTGCAAGGCCCTGCCAATGTAGCAGACCTTTCATGAGCAAGTCATGAAACTCAATCGCATCATCTTGAGGCAATATGAGATCGTTCTGGTCTAGAATCCATAGAGCCTGATTGAGGCACCACGCACATGCTGCAGAGCTTTGCAGCACGGGCTCCTTAATTGCGAGGGCAATTCGGGTCATAGGTTGTTCAAGGCCTGTAGTTTGCGAGTCGAGGGTGACATTTAGAAGTGCTGTTCAGTTATCCTTATTAAGGCCGAGGAAAAAACCTATATTCGGAGACCAAGAAACCGCTCTGCTGCTTGCCACCTCAATGGTTTTTTTCGTCAGAAACCAAACAACCTGTTTGACATCAGCAGCTTTCCATACGCTGCCCAGCTCAGCATATTCGTTTCTACTGCATCCAAGTCCAGTGTTCGACAAAGTAAACTGTCGGCGTCGAATAGAGATCCTAGGCTGAAACAAGCTTGGGCTTCGGGTTTGGGATGTTGTTTTGTAAGCAGTCCTTAGACATGCCTACACACGTACCAATATCCAGCCTGCGCACGCACACACATACACATAACTCACACACGTGCACACCACCACCACCGCCGCCGCCGACACCACCACCATCACCACCACGACCGCCACCACCACCACCACCACCACCACCACCACCACCACGACCGCCACCACCACCACCACCACCACCACCACCACCACCACCACCACCACCACCACCACCACCACCACCACCACCACCACCACCACCACCACCACCACCACACCACCACACAATCAATACCACCAATGCACAACACAGCAAACAGACGCCCCACACCTACTAATTCACCCACAAGAAAACCAACAGACACAGAAACAGCAACAACAAAAGCTGCCAATGTCGAAAAAGGACCGATGCTCTCGACAGACACGGTGCATCTCCAACGACAATTCTCGCAGCTTCTGTTGGTCGGAACCATCATGGGGAGGGAGACAATCGTACTGAAGAAGCTCTGCCAGGAGGCTTGGAATTAAGTCCTTGAAGATGCCCAAGTAAAATGTATGCATTGGATCCCTGAACGCTGTCCCCAGCGTCCAACCTTCAACAGTCGCCCAGGGAGAGACTTCGGAACAGGTCTTGATGTAGGTGTCATGACTGATCTCAGTGAGTCGATGCGGGGCACATGCACGAAAGTCTTTGAAATTCATGGCTTCCATACTCTTGGCACTGGGTTGGTTCGCCATGCAGCTTTCGCACAAGAACGTGCACCGGTAGTACCGATCCCAAAAGAAGTTCGTCTCCACTCGCGCTTTGGCATCGAATCTCATTCCGAAGTAGGTGCCCCTGCAGCGATCTCTAAACTGCGTGCACGCAGAAAAGCAAGGGAAGCTATTGCAGCCCACTATTTGCTGAAACCTTAGCAAGGAAACCGTGCCCCCCTCCGCGGATGGATTGAAATCACACAAGATCAAGCCTCAGTCCACGGCCCAAAGGTTGACCTTTGAGCTTGAAACGTAAACTTTTCGGGTCGAACTTTTCTCCTTCGAATCCAGTCGATGGGAAAATCCCCTGTCGGGCACATTTCAAACTCCAGGCTGTCAGCTTAGCCACCCGTCGATGGACTTCAGCCGCCACCTTTAGGACAGGGTATCGGTTGAACAGCACAACTATAAGCGTGATCACACAAAATGCTGACCGAGGGGCATCATCATCATACATCGCGCTGTGAGGTAGCACAACTATGGGAAATTTGATATCCCACACCTAGGATGCTCATGGATGCTCGCACAGGGAAGCAAAAGGTGCATTACGTTCGTGCTATAGACAAGCAGCATCGCCAGCAGTCAGAGCACTCCCCATCGACCACACCAAATATTCCGAATTGGTATAAAATTCTGCACCATCAACATGAAATATGAGCGGAATTGTGCCTCAGTGCAACACAGAAGAGCCTGAAGGACAGCGCATCACAGAATATAAATGGCAGCTGCAAGCGAGAGACGGCCCAGCTCTTCATCGTTCGCATTGGCAAACACAGGATGATGCTTCCATTCGTCACAGTTCTGGACGTGCTTCCAGAAATCAGAAATGGACTGCTTGTCATAATTCCCATTCAAAGACTTCGATACCTGGAAGCACGATTCTTTTATTAACATGAGGATGCAACAAAAACTTCAACCTTGTCGGCTTGCAGCACGCGCACCTGCAGGGGGCCCGCACAGGCGATGGCATGCAACAGCTCGTGTGGCAGCAGTGCCGGAATCCAAACATCCTCCGGCTTGGTTGAGGTGGGCACCTTGACATTATAGGAGTATGCTGGCAAGCGGGTGATTCACGGGCCATGTTTATAACAAACACCAGCAACTGAGTCTCAAACATTGACATGCACACGAAAGTAGTAGATTTGCAGCTGCATGTTATGCAAATCCTTCAGCCAACGATGTAGGTCTCTTTCTTCGTTTTGTGGGCATTTTCCATAGTTTCCCAGACTCGCAAAGTGGCGGATAGCTTGTGGAGGGGTCAAAGCATCGCGTAGCTGCGCTTGTGCCACAGCCGTCAGTGTTCTGATATGTGATCGACCAGAACCGATCAAACCTGGGCTTCGGCTTGAGATTACTTGGAGGATCATGGGACTTAGTAAGTAAGGTTATAAGTAAGTTATAATTAGGATAAACCCACTTATGGGACTTATAACCCCAAGTATCACTTACTTACTAAGTCCCATGATCCTCTAAGTAGGGTTTTATGAGGGTTGCAGGAACTAAAGTTTTTGCCGAAACACGAAGGAAGCATTCAGCTTCATGGCTGTGTGGCAAATCCTCATACTTTCGCTTTCGGGATCTCTGCAAGGCCAACCTACCCAAGGATTTCCAGAATGCTAATGGGCTGGGACCGTTTCGCGGGCTGCAAACCGTGCCTCGGAGGACCCTCTTCGTGATCTGATTCTTGGCAATCTCGAGTCGTACCTGATGGAGGCAAAAGATTGATTGAAGGGCTTCGCGCGGGCGTTCAGGGTTAGAAAGATTAGCTTGCAGTTCAGGCTTGGTAGGCACCAGGGTGCACACCCCTAAACCCCCAAACCCTGGAGCTTTAAACCTCTTGCAAGCCATCAATTCAAAGACCCGTGATCCCGAACTAGACCCTGTAACCTCTAAATCCGAAATCCTATACCCTAAAGGCTAAGCTCTGCGATTGTGAGCAGCAGAGAGCACATTTTGGCACAGCACCGCAACAGATCATTGCTCGGGAGGGGACCAAGCATCACAAAAACCTTCTCCATTGCACAATAGCAACGCTGATAAACAAGGTGAGATATAGCTAGACTACATGATTCGAATGCCTGAAAGCAATCCTGCATAAGGAACCACCATAGCGAGCGAAGCTAAGCAATGTCCCTTGGCCGGCTACGCCTGGCATCTATCCTCCCTTTGCCAATCAGTCACAGCATGACAGATCAAGATTAAAAGTCTCTAGAGAATCTAGATTCAGAAATCACTGCTTGCTCTCACCGCGCTCCGGGGTTCCCTCGCTGGGCTTGTCGGGAGCTGCAGCCCCTGCTTTAGCCTTGGTCGTCGTTTTCTTCTTCTTCTTCAATCCCGCCAGCAGGCCACGCGCTGCTTTCTGCAGGGCAGAACACAGAGGTCGGGCCGATCAGGTGGTATCAGGGTGGATAGACCCATATGTTAAATTCGTTCCAGGGCCTTGGAATTTCACCTTAAAGCCTACCCTGCACTACTGCACCCGAATAGTGTAAATTTCAGTCCACTAACCCTATACTTGGGAATATGTGGATAGTTAAGTAGAGAGCACGATGACAGGGGATTGAGCTGGGCTGGTTCTCGGATCTAGCTATGTCCGGCCTCTGCTTTTTTGTACCAGGCGCCCCTTTCCTCTACTTCATTCAGGAACGGGTCGTACTTCTTGGCTTTTGTAACCTTCTTCAGGATGAGACGCTGCAGGCTCGAGTAGAGGTCTTCCATCTTCGCACTGAAATCCATGAGCTCCTGCTTCAACGAGTCCCCGTACTCCACGTGTGCAAGGGCCAAGGCCAACTTTCTCGCAGCCCCGCCGTCCTTTAAGATGTCGTCGAGCACAGCCTCTGCTCGCCTCAGATAATTACAATCGAATCTAGCGACATTTGGCAGGTTCACTTTGGTGTACAAGATTAAGACTTATAGGGGTTGCAGGCTTAGGGAGTTTCGGGTTTTTGGGTTGTGGGGTTGTGGGCACCAAGAAAACCTTATATGCCATGGATACAGCAAAGTACTCCTTCGAAGTCGTGGGCAGCACTTTCTCGGTCGTTTCGGTTTTTTTCTTGGGCGGCTTGATCTTGCCCACAGTGCCACCGTTGCTCAAAGCCAGAGCCAGATCTTTTTCCCCTTCTATATTGTCGATCTTCATCCCAGGCATCGCTCCGGCGTGGAGCGGCCCCTCCTCCCCTGTGAGGGAGGCGACGAGGGCTGTGTCCGGGTTGGACTCGTGGGCTTCGATCTTGAGCTTGTTCGCGGTGCTGTTGTCGTTGAGAACTTTTCGTCGCGCGTGGGTATAATAGAAGATTTCCTGGGTTGATAAACAGCCGAACGGATTTGTGGCTTGGGGTTCATAGAATTATACAGAGTGAGCTAGGTTCAATATTGTATAGCATATGATAGCTTGATTTCGGGATTGGGGGTCATACAGGGTTCAGGAGTCTTTTGGGTTCAAATCTATGTAGCATAAGGCGGCTAAGCCCCAAAAGTTACCCCCCTAGAATGGAGGCCATCCATTTTTGGGGCAATAGGCTTTAAAGCTTAATTCTGGGCTTAGGGCTCATAGGCTTCAGAGACTTCTAAGGGCTTAGGGTTCAAGGTTGTCTCTCGTGTATGCTGGTCCCAACAATATAATACTGTAGGGTTTAATATCTCGTGTAAACCCTAAACCCTAAACCCCAAACCCACGGCTTATAGCCTGACGCACAAGACAGAGCAAGAGTCCTCCTCATCCTCTGGAAAATCATCATCCCAGTAGAAGCGGCCCTTGGCTCTCAAAGCCTTGACGAGCTTTTGCCCTTTCGTTTCACCATACATCTTAATGATGTCCCGGGCTTTGCTCGCCTCAAACCCAGAACGCGATGTGGTCTTCTGCTCCACGGATCTTTCCACCACGATCGCCACCCTTACATCGTTGCATATCACGACAGCTAAGGATGCTATCTATCATAATTAAGAAAACATCATCAGTACATCGCAGCTAGTTATGCTATGCTTCGAGGCAAGAGGCTTCTGGAGGTCCTGGTTGTTGTCGAGCCACAAGTTAAACAAGTCCGTTTTGTCGCGCTGGAGGTGGCTTGCCAGTGACACAGGAAACTTCTTGCGATCCAAGCACTGCCGAGAGAACACGTCCCACTCCCTTTTGTTTGTGGTGCCTCAGATGTCTAGTCCACAATGCACAAACTCACCTATCTGTTCTTCAGAACTTATGTAGACTCTAGTGACTCTAGTCTATGTATTGTGATCGAATCAAAGCCACTGTTTCTCTTTGTCACCTCCTCTGCTGTCTTTGCAGCACTCGCGATCTCCGAGGCGGCGGGCTTGCTCGCTTCCTCGGCCTCTTGCTCCTCCTCACCTGAGTCACTGCTCGAGCCCTCGCTGGACTCCTCACTTGACTCATCGTCGTCGCTCCCCTCCGCACTATCCTCGCCGTCATCGTCGTCTTTGGTTGCATCCTTCATCTCCTCATCCTCCTGCTCCTCTTCCTCGGCGGACTCCTCCGAGGAGTCTTCCTCGGACTCCGAGGTCTGCATCAGCGCAAGCATTTCGTCTACGTCAAGGTCTTGCTCTGCTTCGGTTTTGGCGGCTTCGTTGTCAAAGAGGGGTTGCAGGTTCTTTGCGGCGGCCTCGTTCTTCGGCTCTGGGACCGGCGGGGATTCTGGGCGTTCCTTCTTTTTCTTTTCCTTCTTGCCTTTCTCCTTCTTGTCGTTCACACCGCCGCTGCTGGCAACACTGCCTGCAACACTGCCTGCAACACTGCCTGCACCACTGCTGCCTGGATCGGAGCTCCGTGGGGCCGATTTGCTTCGGTGCCGCAGTACGGGCTTGGCGGCTGGGGCTACACCTGCTGGCTTGTCAAGCATCCTGGCCTGCTTCCAGGAAACACCCTTCGTGTCGTCGCTGGCCTTGCGTTTGGAGTCCTTTGCCTCTTCTGTTGCTGTCTCGGTCGCCTGCACTTCCTTTTGCTTGGCTTCCTTGGGCTGCTTGCGGCTTTCCTTAGACTCCTTGCGGCTTTCCTTCGGCTCCTTGGGCTGCTTGCGGCTTTCCTTCGGCTCCTTGGGGCTTTCCTTTGGCTCCTTGGGCTCCTTTGTGTTCTCCTTCACTTTCTTTTCTCTCTTGGGCCCACGCTCTCTCTCTCTTCCTCGGTCTTCTTCCTTCGCAGCTTTCTTTGACTTGGTCTTCTCACCACCCATGCTGCGCTTTTGCTCCCTTAAGCAAAGCAACACAAACCACGCCTTGAGAGCAGCTGGCAACAGTGCGACACCAAATGTGATCATGTAGGGATTGTATATATATATATATATATATGCATATGTGTGTGTGGGCTTTGAGGTTATATGTGATCTATATCTAGAACCTATAGATTCATGTGTATATATCTATAAAGAATATGTGTTTGTCGAGTTCGGGCTTTTGTGCCTTTGTCGGCTTTGGTATTCGTTTCGGGCTCGGTCTCTTTCTCGGGTTCGGTCTTCATTTCTCGGGGCCGGTGCTTCTTCTCTCGGGTTCGGTCTTGATTTCTCGGGGTCGGTGCTTCTTTTCTCGGGGACGGTGCTTCCTTTCTCGGGTTCGGTGCTTCATTTCTCGGGGTCGGTGCTTCCAGTCTCGGGTTCGGTCTTCATTTCTCGGGGTCGGTGTTTCCAGTCTCGGGTTCGGTCTTCATTTCTCGGGGTCGGTGCTTCGTTTCCACGAGTTCGATCCTTCGCTTTTCTGCGCCGTCGCCGTTTCTCGGTTTTGGGGCTTCGGTTGCTCTCGTGGTCTGGGTTTTGCCTTCGTATCCTCCGTTCCTTGTTTTTTTTCTGCTGATCGGCGGTTGCCTTGAGGGGGCATACAAAGCGCAACTTTTCGCGCCAAATCGCGGCATTTTCGCGCCAAATCGCGGCATCCATTTTGATGGTTTAGCAAAAAAAATTGAAAAAACAACCCAAAACTGAAACAAACTTTTGGTAACAAACGTTTGGTGTTCGCTCTCGCCGCTTCCGCGGGCTTCTCGTTCCATTCCCGCTTGGGTCTTGAAATTCTTGCAGATACGGCTCGGCGTATTTAGGCACGGGTTTGGAAAGCCAATTTTGGAGGCCACGGGCCTGAAATGTAGAAGTCTCGGTGCCCAGTGCCCAGAAGTGGGATGATTGGCGGCACCAGGTGTGAAATTGGGCCTCGGACATGAAACTTATTGGAATTCGTGGAGCCTCTGCTTCCATTAATTATAAGTACCTAGCAATAGGTTTAAAATGGAGCATCATGAGCATCTTTGGGTTGTTTATACTTGGAGCTTCAGAAAAGAACATCGTGCTTCGTTCATGAGCCAGAACAGGATTCACACAAACGGTGAAACCGATGGCTCCAAAACTTAAGTAGAATTTGGGCGCATCATGGGCATCAGTGGTTCTCTGGTATTTATGATAGCACATATAGACCGCAAAGCCCACAACTAGATATGATATGGCATGCTTGCTTGATACATCGCATCGACCGGAAGCAAGAAGGCAAGCCATGATATCAACCCCGCCCGGGGCACGAAGTCTCGGTTCTATGCTGTTCTTCAGCACCAATCGAGGCATCCTCCGGAAGGCTTATTGGAGTGGTTTGGAGTGGTTTGGGGTTTAGATTTCAAGCGGTTCGGGGATTTGGTGTCGGGGTTTGCTCTCTGCCGTTGCCATCAGCAAAAAGGTCAAGTTTTCGAGCTTCTCTTTCAACAGGACCTATAGATCCTAGCACAAGCAGTACAGGTATATAGTTATACCAAAGCACCAAGCCCATACTCGGAAGAGCCCAAGTGAAATCTCCAACGGGTCTTCAAGTTCCTGGTTCCCAAAGCTCTCGCCCTAAGCCCTTTGTTATCGTTGAAGCTGCAGCAGGCAACATCGTTGAAGGAGGAGCAGGACTCGGCTTGAGAGCCGGCTGGGGCTGGGGCTCGAGGTTTAATTGGGATGCATTAGAAGCTGCCCCCACCCTGTAATAGTGGTATAATGGGAATATAATAGGGCCCTAATGTAATCCTATATAATCCTTATAGTCACTATTACAGGGCGGTGGCAGCTCCTAAGGGATGCACCTAGTTGCTCTTAAGGATTATCAGCCCCAACTCACAATCCTATCTCAAAGACGAACCCCTGCCTTGTAGGCGCTTCGACGCTGTGGGGTTAAGGTGTTCTGGTTTTGATTCAGTATGCAAGCAATAATGCATTAGTTGCACACAGCCATGGTCCTGGACGACCCCCAGGTATGTATGTACATAAGTATGTGTGTTTGATGAATACATGCAACTGAGGCACTTAATTGCATGTATTCATTTTCTCGGGTGCACGCTATGTCATGTATGCATACCTATACCTGCCTACCTGTACTCCTATGCCTGCACCCAGACCTATCCCTCTATCTATATTTATGAACCTATACCCATATCCGGACACACCTATACTTATACCCATACCAATATATGTCTACCTTTACCTTTCTGCATTATATTTAAACTCCCTACACCCTAGAGGCCCTAAATACCCTGATGCCGGGACCTTCAAACTGAAGCCGCGCCTGCTTTGGAGCGAGTGTGCTTGCGGAAAGCCTATTGTGAAATGCCCAAATATCGTAAACCCTGAAAGCCCGAAATCCGAAGAGCACCCTGCAGCCCTAAATCCGAACAGACCGTAAACCTTCAAGCCCCTGGCCCTGAAATCCTGAACTCTCAAAAAGCCCTAGGCCTTTATCTGTAAGCTTCAGGATTCAGGACCCTTTCAGAGTTCGGGTGTAAATAGAGTAATGAAGCCTCTGGGTTTGAAGGGGAGTGGCCAGCGTAGCTAGATTTAATTCGGAACCTATACACCCAGCTCTACAGATAATCCCGAAACAAGGGGTGCTTCTATGAGGACGGGAAGCACCACGTTTTGTTACTCTACAAACACCATTTAAAATTAGATGCTAGTCATCCTTAGGTCGGTAAGTAGGTACGTATGTAGGTTGGTAGTGAGGTCCGTCGTTAGGCGCTTGCTTGGGTAGGCGGCTATAAGTACAGTAGCAGTTTATGCTCAGCAGTCTTAATTCATAGCCAGGTAAAGGCTTCGGTAGGTAAGTAAATAATAGACACCGGAAGATCGAAGCAGACTATGGGCTATTTGTGCGAAGAAGATGATGATGATGGAACTTACAAATCTACATGACCAAGGGAGGTTCAGCTATCCCAGCGACACGCGGTGACGATGGGACCCCAGCCCAGAGTTCCTCTACCCAAGAACAGCAAAAACCATCCGTCCTCAAATTTTCCAGCAGGACCCCAACCCCTACTCCAAGCTAGAAAAGCAGAAGCTGCCCCTAGAGGCAGCTAGCACGAATTGCAATGCACCTCTAAGGTCGAACTTGACCCCTGAGGTACCTAATTACTGGCTTCAAACGCGCTTCCCGGAGCCAGTCTGCAATCTCTCCCAGTGTATCGGGTCTTGCTTTGCAAGAACGACGCTTGTGCAGGAATCTACGGAGGCTTTTCTTCACACGCTGTGAATGCCTGGTCCTCAACCGGGCTAGTGCACGACCGAACCTGGGATAGATTTGGGGCTTCATAAAATTAGAACTTCACGGGGTTGAGTGTGATTCCTGAATGCCAGTGGACCTATCCGAAGCTGTGAACAACATGTGTTACATCCGATATTGAACATCATGCTGGCAACGCCAAAGGGTACGTCTGCGAAGATTTGAGATCCTTTCCTCCAGTTACCCGTTCTTTGCCATCTGCATCTTTGCAGTGCACCGCAAGTTCCGGCGCCTTGTCGGGCTTGGAACAGTAGACTGGCTTGAACTGCTGGAGGTCACCGATGAGCTTGTGATCTCGGCGGCAGAGACCGGGGAGTTTATCTACAAGAGCCGTAAGGGGTCCTAAACCTGAACCGCCCAAACCCTGAACCGGATAGCCTTGGGTCTCAGTTTGGGGTTTGCGGTCGTCTGCCTTTCATATAGCTCGCCTATACGATTACATCTAGTTCCCGTTCTGGCTCGCCTATACGATTAAGTGGCTGCATGCTGTAACAGGTAACAACGTACAGTTGAGGGTACACACAAGCTTCAAACCACGGGGCTGGGGCCGACCCTATAGAACAGCTAATCCTAAACCTCAAGCCCACTCAACAAAGGCTATTTCCTGAAGACGAAAAACTAAACCTTGGGTAGAGCTGAGTGGCTCGAATATAGCCAAGTCGGCTTCTGCGTATGTCCACCGAAGTCACCCATATTGATGCTTGCACGATGAAGCGTAATTTTTCTGAGCAGCTGTTGTATCCGGGGATGTTCCACAAACAAGCTGTTTTGTGGCTGTTCAAATACGAACCACACCCGACGTGCAGCAGCAATGTAGAGTAAAAGGGCCACGCGACAGGCCATAAGGTTTCCGTCTCCCACAGACTCAGAATTAGGATTTCCCAGCACAGAGTACCTCCTTCTTCCGGTCGTAGCCCGTGACCTCGCTCTGGCGGCTTGGTTAGGATGCATTCTAGGGCTTCAAAGTATTTGGGGCTTAAACTAAAAACAATTCTATCGGTAGCAAAGCTGCATGAACACCCATGACGAGCATACTGGCGCGAGCATCACGCCACCTCCAGCAGACAACCGTAGCATCTGATAGAGTGCATGACAGAATCCCCGCGTGGAGAGAAAGTCCATGTACTCCCCGTCGTACACTATATCGAGCGCTATTGCACGCCGCCCAGCCTCAGGGTATTCTTGAGGTACGGTTGGATCCCACGGTACTGATGGTTCAGACAGAAAACGAGAGAGAGAGAGAGAGAGAGAGAGAGAGAGAGAGAGAGAGAGAGAGAGAGAGAGAGAGAGCCAGCAAGGCAAGTACCCAACAAACTTCAAGAACTCTACTAGCACCCCTCCTCGATTTCAGCTTTCGTCACGGCCATCTGCCCAGCAAAGAATTCACAATGCTCAATCGCCGACCAATCCAGTTGCGATAGCCCAAACACGAGGGACACCAGCATGCTGACAACCTCTGGGACTCTAGGATGTATTTGGGAACAAGACAAACCCGATGTTTATTCCGGATACAAACGGATCATAACACTCCAACAACTCAGAAATGATGTTGGAAGTTCCGAAGCCAAGCTTCAGTCGGTGCTCCAAGAGCACTCAAGCCACGCAGCGTTTTCCCTCGCTGTTTTTTTCCGCTGACCAGCACTGGATTTTGCCATCACGGTTAACAAACAATATCTTGGATACTCTCTAAAGGTTGCGAGCATAAAGCCAAGTGTGCATATATATCTGAGGACGGTGGGCAACACGTGGGGATATGGGGAAACTACAACAGCCAGCTAGGGCTACCCTTGAGTCGAGCACCGACATATTCATGTGAGAGTAGAAACTCCTGAATCATGAAATCCTAGAACTGAAGGTTCCAAGTCCGAGTGTTATCGGCAGTGCCTGAGCAGTCTCCTCAGCCGCAGCAACGGCAACGGCCAGCTTCCCCAGTGACCTGCAGCAGTCCCCAAACCTTATGCACAACCAAACGTCCTAGACTTAAAAAGCTTAAGCCAACATCTACCTAAATCACAATACCTTTAAGTTCCGTTTCTACACGCAAAGTTGCAGCGCTCTTGACCTCCAATCTTTTTCACAAAACCTTCTAACCTGAAACTCTGAAACCCTGAAGCCCCTCGGCTCCTACACCGAAACTGAATGTGTCACTGCAAAAACACCTCTGGTTATATGGCTTTACACAGGATTGGAAGATTACTATTGTAGCGGCTATATATCATCTAGATGAACATCATTTCTCACCATATAAGCAGACCTGCATTAGAAGTCAATAGAAGTGTGTTACATAGGGGTTGGGGTTATATACATGCTAGGCAGTATGCGGCGGCTGTACTTTAAGAAGCCCGCCTTGCCACCCACACCGCGCCAACTGTGTTCAGCACACTGGCACTGAAACCCCAATGCATTATGAATCAACAGCGCAATGCTCCACTATGAGAGTCTACGACATACCTCAAGAAAGGATCTGGATTGTTGAAGCCTTGCAAGAAACGAGTATAGAGCTTTGAAGGTGACTTGGTCGCAGACGATAGATTTTCAGGACTGCAGGATAGGCCAGACTAGAAGATTTTTAGATGGGCACCGAAATAACCTATAGATCCTATATCCACCAACCGCCTCATTAGTCGGGGGTCGTACACTTTATTTTAAGCCGAGCCCTTGCGATGTGCGGCCATCGGTACTGCCACAAACTGGCATGACCCCATCTCATGTACCCACATGAGATCTTCGAGCCAACGTGCAGCACAAACCATCACACGATGCGCGCTGAATCCTTGCACCGGCAAACAGCACACAGCCCTGGCACAAATGCACTATAGTAGGCAAAGTGCATGTGATCAAAGTTTTGAGCAGCCCTAGTTGACCGCAGCACATGCACCCCAGCACTTGGAACATTGCATGGTGTCCTAGCGAGACCTGAGTCCAGCCACACCACGATCGTATACGAAGCGTGAAGACTCGAGGGAGCTAAATCTCCTCAAAACTTGTAGCAGACAGCGGCCTAGCCTGCCCAGACTACGGATGGACTGCAGCCTTCAACACCATATGATACACTTAATTGGAAAGCGACCCCCAAAGACTGTAGAGCTTTAGGGCTTGAGGCTTCAGGGCTTAAGGGTTCAGGGTTTTAGGGTTCAGGGTTTCAGGGTTCAGGGGTTTGGGTTTTAAGGTTCAGGGTTTTAGGTTTCAAGTAAGGGCCATAAGATTTGAATAAGAATATGGTCTTGGGGCCTTGGGGCATCTTCTTCTAAAGCTGCAGCAGGGAGCCTTAAGATAAGATCCATCCTCCAGGCATGGCCCTATACCACTGAAGCACACAACCACTGTCATCAATGCGATGCATTGACAACGAAGATACCACGATCCCATATGCAGATCGACCCACGACTGCAAGCCACTCTTAAGATATTAAATCAGCATATGTCGGCTCATGGCTCCACATACCCAGACCTTTGCTTGGCAACGGCCCACGCTTCGGCGACAGAGCCGAACCGCTTGAAATTGATTTGCCCCAGGGGGCCACTGGCGTTCTCATTGATGCGTTTCAAAAAAAAGGCACCCGTTCTGACAAGCACCTCAATGGTGGCTGGTCCGACGGCCGACTTGAGGGTGAAACTGTGCTTGCCCTTATTGGTGCGATCCCTCTGAGGCCAAGCAGCCTTAGGAATTTGCAACTCCTGCAAGTTGTAATCTCCATACAAGCCGTGGGCCTTATCGGTCTTCTCGATCTCCTTCCTCTTGGCCTTGGACTTCTTCAGCACATGGCGCCTCTTGAAAGATGCGAGCGACTTGCTCTTCCCGGATTTGCCATTTTTCTTCTTCTTGTTCTTGTCGTTCTTGGATCTCAGCTCCTCGGTCAGGCCATCATAAGGGCGCGGCAAGCTTATTACAGTAGACATGACATGCTCATGAGTATGTACACTTCCATCATGCATGTCGATATGACAATATGGACGACAAGTCACCTTCATCTTCTTGGAAGTCTGCATCGGCACCGGGGATGGGGTGAGCATATCCACCGCATGCATACCCTTCGACTTGCACGGTGGAGTCGCAAGGGTTTTCATGCCGTCGGCCACCTCCCTTCGCGCTCTGCTGGGCCCTGCACAGCGCCCTGCCTCGACCAATGCCTTCTGCAGCTCAGCAGATGCCTCGGCCTTCTCCTTCACTGAGCACGCTGCGTCCGGCAACTTCCACTCACCCAGCCTCAAAGTGACCTGGGAATCGACGCTGCCGTCATCCTCACTCTCCGGATTGTAGTGGGAATCATGATCTGCAATCTCTTCTTCCTCAGACTCAGCTGCTGGGGGAGAAAGAGCCTGAACATTCTCTGCGGCCTCAGCAGCCTCAGACTCGGAACTGTCAGCCTGGCTGGCAACCTCACCGCAAAGGGCACCCAGGTCGACGGTTGACTTGCCTCGGCGCAAGCACCCAGACTCATCATCCTTTAGCGGCGCAGGGCTCGCGTCGCTGTCGTCTCCGCACTCATCATCCTCCATCGGCGCAGGGCTTGAGTCGCTGTCGTCTCTGCGCTCATCATCCTCCAATGGCGCAGGGCTCGCGTCGCTGTCGCCTCCGTCCTGGGAGTTCGCATCCTCCATGGCCGCAGCACGGGCAGCGCGGGCACGATCACCGATCTCAGAAGTACTGCAGGGAGAAACAGGCGAGGTAGTGATGCGCACCGGATCCGACTCCGCATCCTCCTCAGCAGAAGACTCTGCAGCGTCGCTGGAATCCGAATCATCAGAGCTGGCGGCGGCCTGTTGCAGATGAGAAGTGAGGATTTCTTCCTACCAGCAGAACAGCACGTTTTAGATTAAAGGAGCGCCCGTAAGAGGGACCTGCTTCTTGCGAGGGGAAGCTTGCAGGTAGCTCTTCAAGATACTCACACGCTCATCTGTGCTGTTGTCGCCTGAGCTGCAGCTTCACATCATGCATGGCCATCTGGCAGCTTTCACATGCGATAGGCAACTACATGCCTCAATGATTCAAGCATGGCGGCTTCCACGCTTCAGGGTTCGCAAAGAGCCCATCAATTTCTTGATCCTCTTCCCTTCCCGGGCTGCAGCCTCCGATCTGGTATCTCCGTCCGCCGGCAAGATCAAACCCCCATTAAGCATCTGATCCAACACCAACATGGCGTCGGTGAGGAGAAATGCTGAAGGCACCTAAGCAATAGTCGGGCGGAAGACAACTGAAGAAGACTTTCCAAGAAACAAAGCAGCCTGGATCTATTCAAGCTGCTCTCCGAGGGTAGTCGATGCAAACAGGTTTCAACCAAACGAAGTTGTCGGATATCTCCTGCATGGAAGCACCGACGATTGCATGCTTTCGTACCCACGTGAAAAAATCAAAACGGCATGTCCTGGCAGTTGGGTCTGCACACATCATTGGCGACGCGAACCAGTTTGACACCAGCCTGAAGCCTTTTCCCCAATACGATATCGACAGCCTTTTCAGGCATTTCATCGTACCACCCTTTGGCCAGGTGCTCCTTGGTTGAATCAGCCGCCGTTCCTATGCATACTATGAAAAGCCGATCTGATACTTGTTTGCAGCGGAAACCCTTTCAGAAGACATTTTTGCAGATCAAGGTCGACGTGCTCAAAGGTCCAGCTGACCTTGCCAGGACCTCTGCATGCACCAAAATTTGCGGTATTGAAAACGGTAGCACTTTGCTCGACTCTGGCTGCGTGCAACATGCGCACAGAGCGCCAGTTCTCGCCTGACACTGCCCCGAGCTTTCGGTCCGAGGGCGACAAAGCCATGGCCCACTTGAATGCATCAGACATATCTGATGCACACCACGACACGCTCACAGAAGCTCAGGTGCACTCAAAAGACAGCCGCCAAATGGCTGCACGACCGGCAAGTTGCTTTCAAGTGCACAAATCATGTCCCCCCCTCCTTCTTCATGCTCACATACCCGCGAATACATTGCAAGCCGTCCAGAGAGAGAGAGAGAGAAAGAGAGAGAGAGAGAGAGAGAGAGAGAGAGAGAGAGAGAGAGAGAGAGAGAGAGAGAGAGAGAGAGAGAGAGAGAGAGAGAGAGAGAGAGAGATATGTATAGATAGAAGTATATATATATATATACAGACAGGCAGACAGACAGACCGACAGACAGGCAGCAGACAGACAGACACAGACAGACAGGCAGGCAGGCAGGCATGCAGATCGACAAAGACAGAGAGAGGGAGAAAGAAAGAGAGAGAGAGAGAGAGAGAGAGAGAGAGTTCTTCATTCATTGATTCATTCATGGATTCCGTGTCCCAAAACGAACATTGCTTAGGGTTTTTTCACTCACGCAGGTGTCCGTCAGTAGAGGACATATTCACAAATCCACAGATTTAGTAGCGCCGAATAGTCAGCCCGGTAGCAACCACTGAGCATGCACAGGGATGACATCCACAAATCGGCAAGCATATGTCTTCAGCGGCATCCAAGCGTGACCAGCGCCAGGATGACACACACCCAAGTCGGAATTGCAACACCCATGGTTCTACCCTTACCAGCACCTCCTTTTCCATGGTCTTACGAGAGTTCTACGAGTGTTAAATACCAAAGGCATCGTTTCTTACAAACGATGTATTTGGGAGCGAAGGTGTCCAAAGGAAAGCATCAGAGCCTTCCGGTACGGCCATGTTGCGCTTCTGCTGCTCCGCGTTGGTGTCCAGAAGACTAACAAAAAACCCAGGATAACGATGCGTCCATGTCATGCCGGAGAGGGTGAACTGCGCAATGATTTCCGCAGCGGTCTCGAAGAGAATCTCGGCGAGTTTGTTGTCATTCTCGAGTTCTGCTGCTGCCCGCTTGCCGCAGTTGTGTGTCTCCAAAAACCCTGCTGATTGCAGCAGGCAGTTGTTGGACAACACGGACCATGTCTCGCTCACAGCATTCTGCAAGGAACCGTTGGCTAGAGAGATGTGGAAATCTTCCGAACCCCAAGGCGTAGAACAGGTGGTGCGCATTCCGTCTATGAACCTGCACAGAGGCTGGCAAACCACAAGCGTCAGCTCTGTCAATGTGTTTGCGAACGGATTTCCCAAAATGTTCGCACACAAATGCAGCATATGCTTGCTGGAAGTCTTCAAGCGTTTAAGCTCGGCGTTGGACTCTGCAACCGACTTTTTCCGCTCTCCTCCAGTGAACTCCGCAGCGATGTCCCGCACCTCTGCTCTGTATTGAGGCCCTTGACCTGCAGGGTTCACTTACTTTTTGCGGACCAGGCTGTGGATAACAACAGTCTTTAGGCTTCAGACGCTTTCGAGATTAGAGGTTGGAATCACAGGAAGCAGCATGAACTGGATGCTGCCTCTGCCTTCTCACGAAAAACATCCTCTTCACGGAGACTTAGAATTGGAAGCTCAGCCAGGGATGTCCACCACTTGCGCTGGATTCCCATCCACAGGAAAACCAAAAGAGCCGGCATCTTTTGGCCCTGCCAGCTTTCCGTTGCACGAAACCAAGACGCCCATCGACCCAGTTTGACACGATCCATCTTCTGCTGAAAAACCCGGCTCGTGCGGATGCTTTCGAAGACACGTTTCATGTGCTCCTCTGTCCCGCGCTCCAACAACGACAAGCCGAGCTCAGAACAAATGGGATCGTAGAGGAGAGCGAACAAAGGGCAGGTGTGGTCTCGGAGTTCGAAGTATTGCTTCGCGCTTTCAGCCAACAGAGAGAAGTTGCCGTGGTTTTCGTACGGAGCAGTAGCCGCGTTGTACAGAGCTGCACGCTCACATACGTTGAGCCACAAACCACTGTGGACGAGTGCATTCTTGAAGTCATTGCCAGGCCAACGATGGTATGCATCCTCAATCGTGCTCCCACGGAGCTGGACGCAGTTGTCCAACCACAGAGAGCACACCCAGCCGATGGAACCCTCATCCTGGGCGCGGTGAAGCACTGGACGATGCAGTTTCCCATCCCGTGTCTCTCCTTCCCGGTGCTAGCCTCACGAGCCACGGCACGCAGGGGAGCCACTCCTTCCAAACGGTCTTCTGGGGAAAGCTCTTTCAAGACCAGGGTCTCGCCTGGCAGCAGCAGGAGGTCCCGGTTGTTAGGAAGAAAGTAGCTCAAGCCGATTTGGATGGTCTTCTGCAAGCACTTGTCCAGGGAAAGCGCGAAATACTTGTTTGCTGTGTACTCTAGCTTCAGTTCGTCGCGGCTTCTGCTTTGCTGCTCAGCCTGCTGTTCCTCCAGCTGCTCTTGCAGCAGGGCCCGATTCACGCTGTCGTCCGTGCACGTGGCCAAGCGAGCTTCCAATCCTGCAGCACTGCCGGAGGGCACATCCTGGAGATTGCTTTTCAAGACCTCGCGAGGGCACCACCGGGAACAAAAGCAAGACAAGTTCATGGGGCACGAAAAACTGCCAATACAAATGCGAAGTCGCATGTATTGAAAAAACACATCTCCGATACATGTATCTAAAACAGGCAGTTTCGATACATGCCGCTAGGAAAAGACAACGCAGAGCGCGCGCATTTGTATCGGAAGCGCAAGGACGCGATACATTCCCCTGGGGATCCTATCGAGGCGCTTGCTAATGCCACGCAAACGCGCGAGACGCGAACAACAGTTACCGGATGCTGCATGTCACTCTTGCCGCTACTCCACAGACAAGACAAGCTCTGACTGGCCTGTGGCAGGAACCAAGCGCCTGTGTTTCTGTCGACGGCAAGACCTGCAACCACCAGAGTGTCCTCTTTCGGTTGCCCGACCCTGGAAACATCGTATGCCAGCGAGAGGTTCTGGACGTCTGCAAAAGTAGCAGCTGCAGCCCAACGGTAGGCCGACGCCTCCTCTGCCACCCAGCGGTCAGAGTTCTCAGCACCCTTTTCTTTCCGTCCTTGGCACAGAACCTTGACGCTCTTCGCCTTTCTATCCTCCAGAGCCAAGTTGATGAGAGCAGACTTTCTGTCAGTGTCCAGGCGACGTTTGCTGCTGCCCCGGACTGCAGTATCACCCTGCAAAGCATCATCGGTTCCGAGAACTGCCGCTATGGATGCGACATGCCGAACGAGCTTGAAGACCATACTTTTGAAGAGGGGGCCCGCAGCACAGCATGTGCTCCGATTTCTGAAGCATTTGATAAGCAAAGCGCTCACAGCATCCAGGGCATCTGTTTCCTGCAATGCGTCTCGCAGTACAGCACGCCCATCGCAGCACAAGCCACCCGAGACGCCAAGGCCCTGGAGTTGACCTCGCACTGACCTGCAGCGGCAATGACCTCTTCTCCTGCTGTCAGCAAATCTAGGTCCAAAATTGGATCCTCCATGCCTAACACGGTGGACAGAAAGCTTCGGAGCACCAGTTTGCCACGCTCTTGGTCAGCGGCTTTGCGGCGGCAGACGGCGTGGGACACTATCAGACCCAGCAAGCCGTGTGTTTCCGCTTGAAAGGCATCGACCAGATGCAGAGGTGGCTCCCTCTTGTATCGCTGGCGAAACGCAAAAGCACTGGGAAGAATCGTTTCCTCATAAGAGGACCCTAGCACCTTGAAATGCTCTTCCCACTGATGTTTTTCGTCTCTCAAGATTTGCTTCTGGTCAACTGCTTTGTCATGCAGTTCATCCAAGATGCGCCTCAACTCCCATTTTACTTGGTTCTGCCACTCAAAGCTGGGATGTCTCCAAAACTTCAGAGACCGCACTCCACTGTTTTCCGGCATCGGCAGCCATCTGGCTGTTGCTTGACGATCCATTTGCGAAACTTGCCTATAAAACTAAAATCTCAAAATCTCTATCCGATGGCACTGCAAAGAAGGTTCAAGATTCTATACGTGCCCCATCGCCAATGTTGAAACAAAAGAGCTTCAACTCTGCTGACGCAAATGCATTCCTAGCGTGCAAAACATGAACTACGAATGATGGATTGACAGTTCCCTGCTCTGAGTCTTCTTCGCACGCAAACATGGACTTCGAGATATGCTGCTAGATGACGACGCTCCTGTACTTGAAATGGAGCTCAGGGCCCCCACAACCTTCAATTCTCGAGGACATCCTTCCCCTGGATTCGCCGACCCTTAGCTACATCCCGCACGCCTTTGGCTCAGGGTAGCCCCCCGAGTGGTGTGCACCCCACCCCATTGTCCCGGTTTACTGCCCCAAGAGAGCACGCGCGCACAGCAGTCAAGACGTCTCATGGACCGAGGAAGAACAGCAAACGTGTCATGCTCACATGCACTCATGTTGCAAATGCAGGCGGAACTGTAGCAACAACGTGGTTCTCTCCTGTCTCTCCTTATCTTTCTGCCCTTCCCCCCAGACCCTCCCCAGCCCTTGTCAGTCCCCCCCGCGAGCATCTCAGGAGAGGGGGTGGAATAGTTACTGTCTTTGCCCTCTCGAAACGCTTACCCTAAAGAAACTGCCTCTCCACTGCTTCCGAGAGTTGTGCTTGGGATTTGGGCTTTGCATGAGAACACGCAACAAATACGAGTATCTACAGCTGCAGAATACGTACAAAGGCCCCCCGAAAAAGTACAAAACACTGCTCAAACAGTTCTGCTTCAGCTATGCAAGAGGGCATGTGAACACTGTGGTCTCGTAAAACCGCATGCGAAATCAGAGAAAAAACGAAAAACTTCCTACAGCTGACATGTCACACATCTGGAAAGAAACCTGCTACCCAACCACCTTCTAATTCAAGACCGTGTACAACCCTCGAAGGCAAAACGGTTTCATGACCTGCCACTTGTAAAAAGGAACGAAAGAAGCGTGAGGACGACACTTAACACAACAGCTCCACGTAGCATCCGCGCTTCTCTGCCTTATGCTTTGCTCCAACACCCCGTGCTGTTCTGTGCTCACCTCCGCTACATTCCCTAAGAGCCTCACGGCATACACAAAGGATATGCAACTCCGTTGCATCTCCTGCAACAGGCCGCCCTGCGACCTGCTTGAAACGACGAAAACAGTTTGAAAGTGCACCTAGTCCCTACAGCGTAACAAGCTCCAACTTCATATGTCACTTGCTCCGTCTCCCACTGCATAAAAAAAGTAGTTCACTGAAACACGGCAGGTAGCAAGGTAAACTGCGGACACCTGGCATGGCACTCATGCCCGCAAAAGACTGCATTTGCTTATGCAGGAGCAATGCCAATCGCTTGCTTTAACCCTGGCGCGGACACCACTGCAAACATTGGCTACAGAAAACCATCGCTCACTTCTCCCTCACGCTTTCGAAGGCGATCCCTCTGCATCGGTCTCCTCGAGCTGGGCCGCCGTGAAGGTCAACTTGCGACGCACCTTTGGCTTGTCCGCCTCGCCATCATCGCCGTCAGCGCCCTTCTCACCGAAGTTCTCTGTCTCGGCAGCTGCCGCTGCCGCAGCAGAAGCTGGCCATGGGAGACCCGCCAAAAGGATGGTCTCTGGACTGCCGGCCCATGTCATGACGGCTTTCTTTTCGGAGAAGTTGCTCTGCACCTCGAGCTCGTCCATCTTCACATTCTTGCCGTCCTCCGTCAAGAAAAGGTCCCCCTGCGGCACCACGATGGCGAGGTCGCGGAAGACGTGACGCACTCTGAGCTGCCCGTCTTCGCCTTCTTCGAGCTTGTAGACACCGTCCTTGCTGCCCCAATCTGGTGGCAATCTCAAAGACTTGGCCCGATTGCCATGCTGTTGGCTCATCGCCTTCAGCGTGTCCTTCAGGGTCGGAATGTGCCGCATGTTGCCCGTCAGCGGCTGGGATGCGTCAAAGCAAGATGCGTACTCGATCACCTCACAAAGCTTCTCGCAGTAACTTGTCGCCGTAGTTCCTTTTGGTTTCAAAGCCTTGAGCATGTAGGGGCTCAACGAGATGTCCTCCACGGCTGAGCAAAGGGCCTCGAGCAAGGGTGCCCGTGCATTGTCCAGCCGAGTGTAGGCATGTGGAACCCAGTTCGCGGGATTCTCATCCTGAACCGTGAAGGTTTTCCTCACCTTCGCTGGGGTGCCCGAGGCCTCGTCGCCCTTCTCGCTAGGCTGCTCTGCAGTGCCATCGGAAGGCAAGGAGTCACAGCTCGCCGACTTCCGCTTCCTGAAGGAATCCAAGCTGGGCAGTTGGATGCCTTTTGACTCCAGGTGTTTGACGACGCCCAAAATCAAATCCGGCTTCTCCTTCAGAATGTCCTGGATGCAGCGCAAATGATGTTTCTGAAGAAGGGCATCAGCTCTGAGGTTCAACTGAGTGATCTGGTCAGTCACTGCCATGCTTCGGAAATGCTTTTTGTTCTCAACCTTGGGCGGCATTGCGACCTACGAAAGGCAAGTGCCTAATATTTTACACAGGGCAGATGCTGTTGTCGACCCTTTGTGCCACAATAGGTTTACCAGGCAACACATTTGCTCAGGCGGCTCTCTTAGACTCTACAGATGTCCAGGTCAGAGACACGTGGACCCCATCTGAATAGCACAAGCTCGGCTCCAACAAGTATACGCGGTGGAGGAGCGCGCTACTGCTAGGCACAGATCCATGCCGAGTGCACACCTACGTCGTTTCCATGCCATCCTCACACAATACACGTACTTCCTGGGACCACCTCGCACAAATAGTTTGCATGTGCTTCTTTGCCGAAGCAAGGCGGACTGTGACATACAATGTGTCCTTGTTACATCCGTCTCTTCGCTTTCTACCCTCCGTCAAACATACAAAACCAAAAGTAGTTATTCAGCACAGCTTACTGTCGTTCGGGACCGGCCCCGATGCTGCACAACCGAAGCTCGCGAAACACACGTATCACAAGCCCTCATTTTCTCTGCGACCATCTTGCAAAGCAGGATTGCTAATCAATGGCATTCCTGCGGAGATGACGGCGAGTAGATATGCTTTGAACGAAGCCAGCAGCACAGCAAATGTTCGTATCTGGGTGGGTCCCAGCCAAGCAATCTTCCAGGCTTGAAAAGTCGGTGGAGACACTGGCAGCACCGTACAAACGGAGCCCAACATGCTTTGACCGAATCGCTGGCTGCGCCTGCGCTAATGCAGGCTTTCTCGGCCCCTGATTCCGGCTACGTCATCTTGTCTCGATGAAGTGAGCACTTAGGCATTTACAGGGCATACAGCATACAAACGGACCCAAGAACTGCTACATTTGCTTTTAGAGTACAAGGTCGACCTGCAGGGTATAACACAAATGTCTGTGTAGCCCTCGAGTGGGTTCGGTTCTAAGTGATCCGACAACCCTTACCAGAAACGAACTGCTACAAGATCTATCGAGATGTAGCGCTTACACTAGCTAGGAACATCTGCTACGGTACGGGGTCTTCGGACAATGGTTCAAAGCAATGGCCTTGCCTTGTTGTTGATGCCAGAATGCCCAATTGCTAAATCTATCTCGTGATCGCGCCTACAACTTCGTCCCCAAGCAAGACAACTCAAAAGGAGCAGATGATTTCGCCTTTACATTGACCCTCCTGCCTTGTGTTTTTGGACGTGTTGACAGTTTTGCTCGTTAGCGATAACATAGAGTTCTGCAAGTGAATGAGCCGATGTGTCTCAAGACTTTTCCGCTCAGTTGAAGTTTGGTATCAGGGACATTGCCATAATGGCTCGCTCCGTGGTTGCCCTCGCTGGTCACTGTTTGGTGGCCGCGACTCTCGTTGAGAGTTGGCTCCCATGGTGGTCCTCGGGAAACCTCACCGAGTCGAGCTCTCCTCCCTTGGGCGGTCCGCCCCCAGGCGAACCGCTCAATGGACCCACTTCTTCCGGAACTATGTCAGTGTGGTGGAGCGAATGGAGTTTCAAGGTCCTCTTCGGGTGGGCCAATGTGTCGGTGTTCTCCACCCCTGAGCAGTTGGGGACCTTGGGAACCGATGGAGGTTGGGCTTTTTACTTCCTGGACAAAGCCGGTGTTCTTTGCTTTGGGCGCTTCTGGCCGATCGCTGGCTGGACCACCCTTGCCGTGCTCCTGACCTTGGTGATAACCGCCCTTGCGTGGTCGCTAAGGACCTGTGAGAGATGTCTTTGCTGTGACTTCTGCTGCTGTCGAAGAGGACGTGGTTCTCGAAGGGCTGGAGTGGATCCTGCCCTTCAGCATCTTCCCGAGACTCCTGCCCCACAGGCGTACGCTACTGTCTCGTTGGTCGGCCCTGGTGGATCCGCCCCGGTGGACACTGAGTACTACCAGAGACAAGTACGGGGTCGGGGTGCTGGACGACGACCTCATGACTTGGTCCTCCGTTTTGAGCAAGGCGCAATCCGTCTGCAGCCGGATTGGTCTCAACGAACCCGAGTCGATCGGCATGGGTTGTGGATCAAGCCCGGTCAAGTTCTGGGTGTCACCGCCCGCAGCCTGAGGGAGAAGGTTGAGCGAGCCCCGCAGATTCACCTCTGCCGCACGGAAGATTGCCAACAGGAAGGGGATCTTCACTGCAAGGCTTATGCGGCCATCGATGCCGACGCAGTCATTGATCTGGGGGCTTACGGACGTCTGAACAGCTGGCGAGTACTCGTTCTCTGCTGGCGAGGAGCCCGGGCACTTCGGCGAGGTCTTGGACAATGCTGGCGCTGCTGCTCTTGCCGAAGATCTACTGAGGCGCCCCGCCAAATTCGAGACCAAGGGGTGACTCGCCCTCTGGATCCTGACTCCGAGTCGGAGGCCGAGGTCGTGTCCGACCCGTGTGAAGCCGTTTTGGTAGGGCTAGAGCTCCAGGGGAAGCCTCGAGCTTTGGCTCCCCAGGGCTGTGAAGACAAGGCGGCAAGCGAGCCCACTCGATTGTTGGTTGACAACCTTCAACTTTCTGATTTAGGAGGAATTGAGTGTGCTCGCCTCTGCAACCATCACAGTCATCTGTACATGCTTTCTTTTCAAGGGAGGAAGTGCAGTGTTTTGTCCTGCTTTAACAAGACCTACGGTGCTCATAAGGGGACCCCCCTTTGCAAGAAGCATTTGTCAGAGAGCGGCCGCTCTCAGAGCCCGGCACCCAGGAGTTCGGGTCCCAAACCCGAGGAGTCCCTCCTCCATTCTACACGTAGAGCCCAATCTGCTGATGCCCAACGTGATACCGGATCCATCCGTGCTGTCCGTTTTTCTGACCAGGCCTCGCCCGGGCCTAGCCCTAGGAATGTAGGGATTGTTTCCGAGTACGAGCCTCCGTCAAAGAATGAACGTTCAGCACACCCTAAAGCGGGTGCACCATTGCTCATTCGCATTCGCCCATTTTTTGGGACAGGGATGTGGTATCTTTTCCTTGGGGAGGTTGAGGGCATTGCGGAGGACAGCCGGCGTACCGAACGGGCAGCTGTTAAAATTCGCTCTCTGGGTTTAAGGCTTAGCCTCCCGTGGCATTGCCTTGGCGATCCGCCCAGGACGGATTCTTCCAGTAGATATCCCAGAGCTTGGTTGCAGGAGTTTCTTTACTCACCTCCTTCAGATCTGGAAGCCCGAGGCCTGTCAGTCCAAGCAGTACAGCTAGCCTCTCACGCTTGGGACTGGCTGCAGGACTGGGATGGTAAAAGGGTTAAAGGGGAAGGTGAACCACCCTCTAGTCTCCGCCCAGAGGATCTGAGGCGACTCCTGACGGATCCGCAAATGGTCCTTCTCGGACACGATGAAGGTAGGGTCCTTGCAGGGTCCGCTGCCTCGAAAGAAAGCGAGTTTGGAACACCACCTCACCCCCCCACTGTCACTGTTTCGGAAGCCATCCCGAATGACGGGATAGATGAAGGTGTACCACCCGAAGTGGACCCTGTTCTGCTCCTGGAGTCTTTTAGGGACGCTAGGGCTTCGGGCACATCCGTCAGCGAGGCAATCACTTTGGTCGCCACCGCTTTCGGGGTGAGCCCTGAAGTTGTGCAGTTGAGTGTGTTAGGGGTCGTTGACACCCCAAAGGCTGAACCAGCCCCGTCGGAGGACCCCCTATCCTGGGGTAGAAGATCCCCGTTGGAGGTCGGTCCGCCCCCACTTCCTCCTCCTCCTCTCCCCCCGGGACTCGCCCAAAGCTCGAGTTTGGTAGTCAGCCAAGGCAACGCTTCGGGAAATCAACTCCTCAACTTGGGGAGCACTCCCTTTACTGTAACGAGCCAGCTTTTCCCTTCCGTCACTGCAAGTCACTGACAAGTGGGCCTCCAGGCCATCGGGCAAGAAGGTAGTACCGCCCTCCCCGATCTAGGATTGGGCCAGGGTCTCCTCAGGAAGGCAGGAGCGGCCTTCGGAGAGCAGCTTGGTCCCGGTCCTACCACCTTGGCCACCGACCGGATTATCCACGCCATCGACGGACTCCGGAAGGTCCAAGACGAAGACAAAACCGGGACCAAAGGTCAAGTTAGCTCCTTGAAAGACGGGGAGAAGATGGATGTTTTTCTGGCCAGGGGTTGTGGACAACTGTCGGTTGAGCTTTGCAAAGGTGTCTACGGAAAGGAACTCTTCCATAGCATCAAACGGGCCGGCCTCCACGCCAAGCATGAGTTGGGCTTGATTAAGTGGCCCGTTCTCATCACCAATCGCGTCGCTCTCGCGGTGTCGGGTCTTTGGTGGGGGGGCACCGAATTGTTCACGCTTCAGGCCTCTGATTGTGTTACCGCACGGGTCGAGCAGCTGGAGAACTGGAGTCCTCCCACGGAACACAAAATTGAAGCTCGCACAAAGTCCCCTAGCACATTCCTTACGTGGCTGCGACACGCTGAGAATGCGGTCAAAGTGTTTGGCAGTGCTTATGGGCTCGAGCATGTGCAAGAGCGTATGAAGTTCCTTCAAGCTCTCAGGGAAGCCCATGAGGAGGACGAGAATGCCTTTCCTTTCACATACTGCGTGCAACTTTTCGAGGAAATGACCGCCGTCTGGTGCGAAGAAGTGCGTGAGAAACGCCGCATTCTCTGCTCAAGACTGGGGACCGAGAACCCACGGCTTGAGGACCTCAAGCTGTTGGCCCTTTCCCCGGGAGCAGATGGGCTCCCAAACTTTCAGTTCCCCAGGGTGTGGGATCTGGGTGACCCACGAGGTTACTATCAGAGGGTTGTTCTTCCGAGACAGAAAAAGGCTACGGCTAGGCTCCTCAACAAGCAGCTCCACGAGCATGTCACCCGGGAGCGCAAACCTGACCACAGGAAGACCGCTGGACCCACTGATCCTGAACCTCCTGGTGTTCCGCCCGACGAGTCTGATAAGGCTGGGAAAGGTCCCAAGCTCACCCTCAAACCAGAGCCCCTGAAGACTGGTGAAGGAAACAAGGCCTATCCGGCCGGGAAGAGGCTCACTCCCACTGAAGTGAAGCGGTCTGTGGCCCACGCCCCCCAGTGCTCCAAGACCAAG